TTAGAACACTTTTACTAGTTGTTGGAGCTGTCAAGGTAGAGTTCGATCACTTAGTCTTTATAAGTCTTCCCTAAAGTTTTACTTATAGGAAGGGGCTTCTCATAAAGTATTTCATAAGTGGTGAATCCAGTGGGCCCAGGGAGCATCAAACATGAAGAAGGGTCATACAAATAAGGTCAGCCCATGGGGCCTTGGTTTTATGGTAGAACTTGGCTAGAGTTATCTTCAAGGTCCAGTTCATCCATTCCACCTTTCCAGAACCCTGAGGTCAACATTCAGCCTGCATATTTTATTTTATTTTATTTTTTATTTTTTATTTAAATTATAATTTTTAAATTGGAAAACAATTATACAACTTGGAATGGATTTGAGGCAAATTGTGCCATAAGCAGATTTTTTTTAAAGTGGCTAAACAAAGTTTAAAAAGCAAGTAACAATAAAAGAAAATGTTTCTGGTACAAGACCAGCAGTACAAAAAAATAGTGTACGAGTACCTGGATAATACACCCGTTTTGCAATAGTGCAACTTTGAAGTGCATATTGTTGACTGTCCGCAGCCACGCAGTTACAGCTCCACACTTCAACAACAACATGCTGACATGTCCTAGGAAAACTACTTTAAGAAAAGGCATAACCAGATGTTCCCTCATCTGACCAACTCCATCTAGGTTTAGATGTGCAGAAAGGCTTAGATATATCCAGAGTGAGCCACATACAACATGTTACTTGATCAATTTTCTAAAATAAGGTTTCAGGACAATGACAGTAAGATAAGGGAAGAAACCATGGAGAAATGAAGTCCTAATTACTATACATGCATATTTTTTTTGACAGTAGGGGGAAACCTTTTACAGATAAGTTACAAACAAAGAAAAGGCAAATAAACAAATTTGTACAAGAAATTTAACACATTCTGTACAACGTCTTCACTTTGCTGTCATCATTTGTACAAACTCTTCATAGTTTACTTGGCCATCACCATCAATATCTGCTTCCCTGATCATTTCATCAACCTCTTCATCTGTTAACTTTTCTCCAAGGTTTGTCATCACATGGCAAAGCTCTGCTGCGCTAATGTAACCATTGCCATCCTTATCAAATACACGGAATGCTTCTCTAATTTCTTCCTCACTGTCTGTGTCTTTCATTTTTCTTGCCATCATTGTCAGAAATTCAGGGAAGTCAATTGTACCGTTACCGTCTGCATCTACTTCATTAATCATGTCCTGCAACTCTGCTTCTGTGGGATTCTGCCCCAGAGACCTCATTACAGTTCACAGCTCCTTTGTTGTTATAGTTCCATTACCATCCTTGTCAAATAGTGAGAAAGCTTCTTTGAATTCTGCAATCTGCTCTTCAGTCAGTTGGTCAGCCATGCTGCAAGCGCTACTGGTTTCCGAGACGCGAACACCGAACCACTCAGCTCGCTCGCTCCACTCGGACTCTGCATATTTTATTTTATATGGAGCAGTTTACAAGGTTCTGAATTATTTCTGTTACAAAGGCTGGGCTACTGTCACTTCCTATGAACAGAGGGAGTCTATATATCTGGGAATGATTTCTCAAAACAACGCTCTATTGATCTCAGAGAATTTTCCTGTTCTAGTGAGGAAAGCTTCTACCCAACCAGAGAAAGTTTAGACTAAAACCAACAAGATATCTATATCCTTTGCTGGGTTTAACTTCTATGTATAATTGTATATCTTCAAAAGGTGATGTTCAAGTCAGTTGGATCCCTGGAGGGGACTTAGGTCTCTGATTTGGATTATTTTGAGCACAAGTGTGGCATCATTGGAAGATAGTAGAGCAGCTGCTGGCAAGGTGTGGATATAATAGTAGTAACCTAGGAGCTCTTCCATAGCTATTCTTCCTCTGTGGGTTACATTGGGATGTTTTGAACCCACGTGTAAGCCATTCTTGTGGGACCACAGTTTGTCCATCTGATAGGAACCTTAGTGGCTTGTTCTTGTTTTGCCCAGTCATCTCCTTCCTTTGTATATGTGGGGAATTGAATTTTTATTACCATCACAGTGTCAGAAGGAATGTTCCTTAAAGTTCTAGGTTTGCTTGTATGATATTTCTGCTTTAGGATGTTCCTTCAACAGCTGCTTTTCAATTTTATCTGCTTTATTGTTTCCTAAGGAGATGACTTTTTTTAAAAAAAATCTTTTTATATCCCTGGCTGTAATGATTCCATTTTGGTGGATTTCTAGACAGCAGCAAAGAAGAATTTCTTCTTTGTTTTTAATGATTTTTCCTTCCATGGTGAATAATCCTCTGTGTGTCTGTGTCT